CTACATAAATAACATCTATTTTTGCAGCAGAAATGTACAAACAAAAATTACAGACTTTATGAAATAGATTTCAAATTAAATTTTATTTATCTTTTTATGTTTTTTAGTTCTTACCTACTAACTTCTACTACTCTGTAAAAATAACGAAATAAAATACACCACGTGTTTTGTATTATTATTCGCTTATAGCGAACTCCGGATATAACGATCCAGTTTTAGTTCATTTTTCAAGTTCGTTATATCCGGACTCAACTGTATAATTTAAATAATGTAGTTGAAATACTATAAAAATTGAGTTGCGCGACTTGGGTTCTATTTTTTCAAACTTTTAGATAGAATTTTAAAATTGATATTACTCCAGAAAAATAACAAAAATATGTAATATTAACCCCACTTCAGGGCTACAGCGATAGGTAGCAGGGATTTAATAATTATTATTAATATTCGTATTTCCATTAACTTTATCATTTTATCGTGTTATATGCTTATAGTTCTAATTGGTATATCACAAGTTCACATCGATAAGAGGCAGAACCGTAACCACTTCAGTAATAATCGAGAGCAGGTGCGAGCGAATTAATTAAAAGTTTTGCTAAATACCGAATATTCTGTTCTTTTTGGTTTCTACTATGTGGTTCCGATGTCATTGTTTTTAGGCTGTTTAAGTTGCACTGAAAGATGCAAGTCTATTAGCACTAAACCGAATTTATGCCTTAACAATTCATGTGATTGATGTTAGAGAATGGTTTTGCCATAGTTACAAAACCGTTTGCCCTGACACGTAGTATTACGAAAGAAAAACAACAAATTATGTAACGTTTGCAAAAAAGAGTCGTTTTTCGCGCTGCTCTGTTATTTTAATCCAATTTGCTGGTCCACGTTCCTTTTCGATCTGTTCGAAATAGCACAATTGCGAAAGCAAAATTACATATCTGACTACTTGTAAAATACATAAGCTTAAAATAAAAACGTAGTAAATAGCCAAAAAGGATCGTTTCCAGACTGAAAATTTAAAAATCAATCACGTTCAAAGCCAAAAATTACATGTAAAAAAACCTGATTATCCTTCACTCTCGATGATATAAACAACCGTGATTTTTCTCAATTTTTCTATTTACACGTTTCGTTGGATTGATTACAAAAGTGTCAAGACACATTTAGGTTACAGGGTATTGTGTAAGTTATCAATCGCAGATGTAGTCAAATAAAATGCGATTTCTTTCGCTTAATTAATCAGGAATGAACTGAGGAATTTAAACAGAAAATTTTGTAATCCTCTTAAAAAAAGGGCAGATATGCCAACTGTGCGCTAAATTGCGCAATTTGCGCTAAATGCGAAAATAACTCAACTGGTTACTGACTGATTCATGATAATAATGTCATTTTCGTTATTTCAAATGGACTTTTGTAAGGTTTCATGAATTTTAGTTCTTGGCCTCATACGAGTAAATGTGATTTTTGACCATGAAATGAAATGAATGAAATTCACAGGGTGACATTAATCTCGTGACAGTAGCCAGTGTCACGGTGTCGTATGTCAAACCATTTTGATATGACACTAACGTCGCGACACCGTGACTTTCAACTGTTCAGACAATGACACTGTTTTGTACATTAATGTCACCGCGTGTACAAGTTTTTATTGTTCCGTTATTAAATTAAATTAAATTGTCCGTTAGTTGGTAGTGTTCTACAGATAGCACAGTGTAGCTCATGCGTACAGCAATCGAATGAGAGTGCAAGTCGGCTGAGACGTTTAAAAATACTTTAATCTAATTTTAAATCGCTCATCAACCATTTCACGTTTTTATCGTTTCCTAAAGGTTTTGCAAAATCGAAATACACACATGAATAAATAAGTATGGATGCATTCAAGTACAGTCCTGCAGAATGATTATATCGAATATATATATGACTGCGCGCTCTATGATATCAATATTCGCTATCATCAGCTATCAAGTCAGTCTCTCGAAGTCTCTTAGAAAATGTGTTTCCAAGTGCGGATAGTGATTCACTGCCGGATGACAGCTACTTGATCTCAACTAGTGATGCTACTTAAAGTAACTATGGTTTTTCTACTGAGCCTTCCTTCCGCTTCTCTTTCTGAAAATCATACTTTTAACAATACCGGGTTAAAGTACCCAATATGGCCAATCGACAATTGTACATCGATGTTCGCAACTTCTTCAGAAACATGCAAGAAGGTAACACAGGAAAAGACCAGCTGCCACATTTGCAATGATACAGGATGTACTATACACGTAGCAGTGCTGTTTCCAGAAGATTCAGAATACATTTTAAATCTGAATAGGGTAAATCACATTGTTTTCACAATTTTATCTACGTTTGATAAATATTCACTATGTTTAAGAGTGAGGCAAATGAAAGTGTCAACGTAAACAAAAATACACCTCTCTTCGATATTCTGACGCAGATTCATATAGGGCTGGTGCTTCTCTGTATTATTTATTTGTCGCACACCTGTATATAAACACGTGTGCTTATTTGTCCGTTTCACATCATAATTGATAAGACCAGATGTATTCGATTGATGCATTTCCCATGAATTTCTCTTTTATTTCATTTAGACGGACAAACAAATGTGTTTTTGTCCGCAAAAAAATCATTTTTATAAATCCCAACAGATTTCCACAATAAATAAATGACGAATGATAAAAGTTTAATGTATTCAGACAACGTGCTGGTCGAAAATAATTGCAACCACCCCATCTTTATGTATAAATTACGTTATATTCGGCCGTTCCTATATAAAAAACGCTCCACGTCATGTAACGCAATATAACGTTACCTAGTTTTTCATTAGCAAATTTCCTCATACCTGTATAATTAGAAAATTATATCAACAAGGATGAAGCCAGTAAAGAGAGAGAGTCCATCTTGCGGAAAATAACCCCAGGGCCCAGGGTATATCTTTCAAACATGTTTCGGGAGAGATTACTTTCCAAATTAATTTACCTCTGTTTCCAACGTTTGCATTTATTTACATTTTGTCAATAGAAAAATTTTGATTTTTTTCCTAAACAAATTTTAATCAAGGTAGTAAATTAGTCGAAGCAGGCTGTATTTTTATTAAAATTTGGAAGCGCTGTAATTAGAGTGGCAGTAAATAATATGTGAAACAACCCAATAATGCTCTAGTTGTAAAAGCGAAGAATCCACCAGAAAAACCTATAATCGAACACGTCCTGACCGGAAATGGCCGGTCTTAAAAAAGTAGCTGATTGATTATTTATAGTGTAGGTAAATGAAATTTAATGGTCGAAGCTCGGGACATAAAAAATCGGAGTGGTTGCCAGTAAACATTTTTTTATTTATTAATGTTTTCCTATGATTAAAGTGATACCAATCCTTAAACAATATAGGCGTAATATCCATTATAATTAATGATAGTACTTTCCCTATTAAAACTCGGGCAAATATTAAGTTATTTATATAAAGCAAAACGCGGTAAACAGTGTTTCGAAATAACTAAACCACAAATATGAGCGGCTTATAGATTTTTCTGAACTTTTCACTTGCCTAACATGATTGATGATTATTTATTCATTATCAGATTTCACATATGTTTATTCCGATAGCTATCGCATATTAGTCGCAATTTTGATAGGTTGAAAAAAAACCGGACTATGCATTAGTTAATTGAACGTTCTCAGAAAACATTTTCATTTACCACCGAGTGAAAAATCAATGGGACAACCAAAATCAAAATTTATAACTGATTATCCATAGAATACAGAGCAATAATTATGAATCGCTTCAGAGTACATATCTAATTGGTTCTAAAAATAAGCGTAATGCTGTTCACTTCCAGATATCTTATCATACATGTTTTAAAATAAAGGTAAGAGTTCTCCAGATTTTTACAACCGCTTCTAAATCTTTATATCTATTATTATTTTGTCGATCACATTATTTCATAAATACCAGTCGCATGCGAAAGGTTTTTCTTCAATAATCATAAAAATTGAAAGATCAATTATTATAACATTTTCAGATGCACTTAATGAACGTAGCTATTGAGGCCCCTGTGCATCGTTTATTCAGTTTAAATAAATTGAAACTTCATCATTACAAAATTGTTTTATTCTAGTTGGTGTGTTTGTACACAAATATAATTAATTCACTTCCTCTTATCAATATCCAATTAACGTAAGCGATCCAGTCGAGAATTCTCATTCTGACTAAAATGACACTGAATGAGACCCTAAAATAAAAATATTAAATTGTGCTTTTCGATTACTTCTTACTCTATGTGCAGGCAGAAACAACTCTTCGTGAGGCAGTTGACGATGTTAAACATCTTGTCCCGAATATTGACTTTGAATTTAGAGCTATGAACGATGGTTGCTTATCCGAAATCGCTCTCGGTCAAATTATCGATGCGAATGAATGGTGCCCGCATGTGATATTTGGTCATACATGCGATTATACTTTAGGTAAGTTCTTTTAGTTTTTCCCTGAATGAGTGCAAAATATTGCTTAACTCCCAGCCTCAAGTATTTTGCACTTTTGTTGCTGTCTCATATACAGTTTATAAGTTGATTGACATTCCAGTTGAAAGTCGATTGGATATCGCCAGTAATCAGGCCAATATAAAACATACAGTCAAAATCAGATAAAAGTCATGGCATCACTTGTGGATTTCAGTAGTCATTATCTTGATCTAAATGTAAAGATATCGACGTTTATTTATAATTGCAAAAATGATTTCAGTGATTTAAAATAATCTTTTCTAATTTTAATGTATAATCGTGGTATAAATATAACAATAATACTGGTTTATTTAAAAAAGATGAGATGTGCAACGTAAATTAAAAACTGATAATTTAAGAATACCTTAGATGTATCTTGTTCAAATCGGTTGATTAATTACTGATTATCTACAACTTAGACGGAATACTTATGCTTACAGTCGCACATGGATTTTAACAAATCCGGCAAACTTTTAATATGCATTGTTGAATCAGTGATAGCGAATCCGGCCGAAACAAGAACCGAACTAAAAAATTTAATTGAATTAACTGAATTTTGCACGTAAGAGCTTTATTGCACTTAGCAGTTTCACATTGCATAAAAGTAAATTTCTGTTTACTGCAACAAAAAAATATTTTAACATCTTACGAAAAATTGAAAACTCACTTCCCGATTTACATCTCAGTATACAACATTTTAAGAGAATTTTGTTTCGTGCTTGAAACACTGATTCATTTGCAGGACTGAAGTCTTATTTATTTTGCGGAAATGAGAAACTGGAATATCTAATATTCAATTTTGTTTGATCCTTTTCAAAGTATTCAGTCCGGTTAATATATAAAAAAATGTCACAACCGCAGCTTGAAGGAAGCGCGGAATTGGGAAAAAGTCACTTAACTTAAAAAGCAGCGTTAAAAAACTTACATACAAGATGATTGAGAATTCATTGCCTGTAAACATTTTCGTTACAATAGTAAACGCTTTTACAGCAAGTGTTGGAAGGATTGCCAAGATTCTGGGCAAATCTGGGGCGCCCCTGCTATCACCTAGTGGATTTACGTACGATTTTACATCAATAAAAAAGGTATCCATGGAAGATGAATTTTATCACCTCTTTAATATTGGCTCTGCTGGATATGCTTCGTTCGCCGAGTTCTTGCATCTGATAGCCGACAGGTGAAACATTAATTTGAGACAAGTAGGTAAAAAAGTAGAAAAAAACATTTTTAGTTATGGATGGAAGAGGTTCGCGCTCATGTACCTCAGAAATGAACTTAGCGAAATTGCTGGCGATCAGGCATGTCACCTTTTGCAATCTACTTTAATATTGGAATTCTCAGCTAGTGAAATTGACTATCAATCCGGTGACGTAGAATTACTTAACATCACATACGACGCTCTATTAAAAGAAAAAGTTGGAGTCAATTACGGAAGTAAGCAAAATAATTACTGTCTTGAATACTCACTAACTTTAGTACTACTATGTGATTCTAGTTGTTTTAACTTGTGCCAGTCACATGAATATTCGGAATTTAGCAATTCAAGCTGCTAAACTTGGGATGATGGACCAAGGAGAATATTTGTTTCTAAACTTTGCCCTTTACAACAAGTGAGAGTAAATTCTAAGATTGTAGGATTGAAGGATTTGGCACACTGGATAATTTGCTGATAGTTTTAATGTTTTGGTATAGCCGAATTAATATACTGTATAATATATTTTAGTGCACATGAACCAGATAAACCCTGGTACGATCCAAACGACACGGAGGAAAATAATACGTTGGCCAAAAAAGGTTTCAGTTCAATTCTAACATTTTATCCATACAGAGAAACTGATTTCGACAAAGTTAAAACCCAGTCATTTAGAGGCTCCTTTTATCTGGATGATATTTACAACAGTATGCTGATGTATGTTCAAGCGATCGAAAACTTAACTTCAAATGCATCGGTAGACTCACTTAGGGGATGTGATATTACTCGATATATGATGGGAAAATCCTACCAAGGTAAATGCATCTCAAATTGCCTTTGTTGAAAGTTTCGCTTGCATACATTTGAAACATTCTAACGCTTCAGGTTTATATGATGAGGAGATATTGATTAACTGCAATGCCCAAAAGGTAGTCAATTATGCTTTGGTGGCACAAGACGAAAATGGAATATCTAAAGTTATAGGAGTATATTCTGCAGGAAACAAAACTGTAATTAAATGGGATCCTGGCAACATTACATTTCCACCTGATGTACCTGAATGCGGATATGATCTATCAAAGTGTCCCAGTAAGTATCTTCTGAAGCAGAATTCCCCAACTGGTCTGTCAATTATTGGTTTCAGCTTATGATAAAGTGAATATCCTATTTATAAGTCTGATTAGCGTAATATGTGTCGGTTTACTAATAGTTGCAACTGTGATCTATAGGTAAGTTACATTTTTCCAGCTTTACCACATTAAATAAATATTTTCAACTGTGAGTTAAATAAATGTTTAAGTCTTAGGACATTAATCAGCAAATTAGTACAATTAAAAACTTAAAAAGCATATTTTGCCATCCGTTCAAATCACTTTCAGGCATTATAAATTAAAAGCAGAGATTTACTCGAGAGCATGGAAAGTCAATTACGACGAAATAGCCTTTCTGTCAAAGGAAAGAAGAAGCAGCATCCATTCAATTATGCCCCTTAAGGTACGACAGGAGTGATATTGGGGAGTTCTATTTTTAAAATATCAATAGTAAAATTGCTTTAGTTACTAATTGTAATTTTGGCGGTAGGAAATGGATGAAATGAGCTTGGCGGGCGACAGCCAACTTTTCGCACAAATCGGCTATTATAAATCAATAAGAGTCGCTATTAAAAAATTACCTGATATCAAAGTGAATTTGAACCACAAACAATTATATGAACTTAAAGTGATGAAGGATTTATCCAATGACAATCTAGTGAAGTTCTACGGAGCATGTATAGACAGTCCGAATAACTGTTTGCTCATAGAGTATTGTCCAAGAGGAAGTCTTCAAGACATTTTAGAAAATCCCCAGTACAATTTAGATTGGGCGTTTCGAATGTCACTGATTATGGACGTTGCTAGAGGAATGAACTATCTTCATGACAGCGATGTTAAGTCTCATGGTGCTCTAAAATCATCCAATTGTTTGGTAGACAGTAGATTTGTCCTGAAAATATGCGACTTTGGTCTGCAGTTTTTACGGGGCAATGACAAAACTGAAGATTCTGATGAAAACACTTATCAATACTGGAGGCGTAAGTAGTTCAAATATTTTGGTTCACGGCTTTATTTAAGCTTATCAATGCTTAAGGATTTCTTTGGACTGCCCCGGAACTCTTGCGAGATAAAAATCCTCCACCTGCGGGAACTCAGAAAGGAGATGTTTATTCATTTGCCATAATCATGGAAGAAATAATCATGAGGGAAGGTGCCTTTTACTTGAAGGACTCGATACTAGAACCTAAAGGTGAGTAATCTGATCAAAATCTTCTTAGTTTCATACAGTTGTTTAGTATAACAAAATACTCTTCTGATAATCCCGGAAGCCCTACTTACAAAACAATTCGAAGTATTGTAGCAATACATCCCACTTCCCTTCGGATTATTGGGGATTAGTGCACTCTAATTCGTATGAATTCGGGTCTGATTGTTTAATTACTACCCTTTATAAATTATTTATAAGTTTTATTTTCCCGACTGCATGTATTTGTTATGACATTCTTATCTTTCCTGGGTCTCAAAGTTTGAAGCACACATTTTTTGAATATCGTTTATTTCAATACATTTCGGCGAGACATCAGCTCCATCATCATATTTAAAATTTACACAAACTCATGATTGGTAAAAATCAACGTTCTTTTAGGTCTTTGCCTTCTTGAAACCTTAAATTTGTCTGAATTTGAAGTTGCAAATTCAGACAAATTTAAGGTTTCAAGAAGGCAAAGACCTAAAAGAACGTTGATTTTTACCAATCATGAGTTTGTGTAAATTTTAAAGCTGATGATGGCTCTGTTGTCTCGCCGAAACGTAATGAAATAAACGATGTTCAAAACTTTTACTTCATACTTTGACTGAGTCCCAGGAAAGATCAGGATATTATTTATAAGAACGAGATATTCTCACAAAATAAAGAATAGGACCATCATAGCCTTGTGAGTTATGAAATAATTATTTAAAATTGAATATATTCAAATTAACGGTTAGTCGCGAGCAAAATCCTGCTGGGCGAAGAATTTGAAAGCCCAAAAGTACATTGGTTACAATCCGGCTCTTTGAACAAATTCTACTCAACAAATTCGCAAAGAAATTGGCCTGCGGAGATGTGAATCTGACGTTTTTAATTTACCACTAATTCCTGGCCATTTAAAGTACCAAAAAATATTTAGCGCCTTTGATCTTCCTCCAGTAATTATCGTGCTGAAAGGCACGAAGGCAAACCATGCTATGTCATTACCAGACACTTTTTCTGGAAGGTTTCCCCATTTACTTTATATAACATTTGTTTACACGCACAAAATGCGAATATCAAATTAGCAGTCAAAAACATTGCTCACAATAAAATTTCGTTATGTAAAAGTAAATATTCTATAAATACCTTGGCAAATACAGTCGAACTAATATTTTTTCAATTAAGTTTTTGTCTTCCTTTTATGGCCATTCTTAAAGAACGGATTACGGTCTTAAATAACCTGATCGAGCAGAAACCTTTTTATTTGCGGGGGATTAGAATTTCTGGAAAACGCATTTCTCGTATGAGAAGAAATATGCTGGATTACAAAAATTCCTCAGCAGCAAAGGCGGGGCCTTTTGGGAGAAAGGGCGGGCCCATAGAGAAAAACTTGTCCCGTTTCCCACGAGGACCATTAAAAAATACGCTCATCAATATAAAAAAATCGCTGCAGAAGCCAATATTTCGGGCTCATAAGCGGATAAACCTAATTAGTAAAGGCAAAGTTGAGCGTTCTGAGAACTTAGGAACTGTCAAAAGCGGCTTACCGAACGCCAACAAACCAAAATGAGGGTTGGTATGAAAAAAATGAACTCGTCAAGCATCAAATATCAAATTGCTCACATGTTTTAACCTTGAGGCGGAAATTGAACTTTAACGAAAGTTACATATGGAAAATCGTGTATTTTCCACATCCGACTTTTCTAACTGGCTTAGACACCTCTTTCCGAGCAGAAACCCCTCCGCCGCGGGGCGAAATTTAAATTATCAGCGAATCGCGTATTTCCATAACCCGCACTACACCCCGCATGCCAATAAATAAGCGCCGCATAGAGCGCTCTCTATCAGTCGCAACATTGCTCCAGTGAGGGAAAGATGTCAGACCGGAAACCCCCGACTTCTTCGGAAGTCGCGGGGAATTCTGGTCGCCACAAAACTCCCGAACGTAGCAAAGTAGTGCCGCGAGTGAGGAACCCAGAGCGGACACAAGAGCAGCTCCGAATGAGTCTCAACTTGCCTCCTCGGGAAAACTCTCCTAGTCCAGGTACTTCCGCAGCAACCAGTCCGAGAAGAGCCGTAAGTCCTCTTCTAGAAGTCCGGCGCCCCATTTGCACCCTCAAATGTGACAACTGCACTTACGCTCTGTGGCACCGCTTTGGACTCATCTCTGGAGGGGCAGACTCAAGTAAATACTCTTCATTTTAAGTAATCTTTGCCGCCAAAGTTTGCAATTATAGTAAATTTTCAATTGGTACTAAATTGCTGAGGAAAACTGCTGTTGGCTTGTTTCTAATTTTTGGCAAATTACCTACTCCATTGTCATACAATAGCAAAATCCCCAAGTCCGATCGAATTGATGATCGTTCAAACATTTGAAGTGAAAAGTTTCACTTTTAATTAGCAAACAGTCGGTATGGTTTTGGGCATGGTATGGCTGTGACAGTGCTATTTGCTTTCACCCATTTGGTCGCACTTTCATGCAAACAGGAAGTAGCCAAATAACATGTAAATAGGTATTGTAGATGAATGAAGATGGCATGAAGAGTACCAAACAGTGCTCCACATTTGCCATTGAAGCTACACTGCGCTTACTCTCATTTTACAGACCCGCCTCAATAGCTACTGACCAATCCCAGTTTCCCTCATAGATACCGCAATTTGGCGGAAATTTTTCCAATTAAATTCCTGAGAGCAACACTGACTCGAATTCAATACATAGGTATTTCAATTAAGCATCAGCTTAATGAAAGTATGCCATAAAGTCCAAATCGTCACATGCAAAACATTTAAATCTTGCTTTGATGAATTGAGCTTAACAAGGTTTCAAATATATTACATAGATTTTTTTTCCCATAACATACGAAAAAATACTTTCCGCCTTTCTTAAAGGCACACGAGAAATTAATATGAGAACATAATAAACGGAGGTGCTTTATAATGTTTTTTGTCATTATGTATTTCGTTACTAAGAGACTTGTTCGTAAAATAACTAAGGTGGCATGTAGTCGCACAATAATAGTCTTTTCTGTTGAGGAATAAACATGGTTCTATTTGCCTAATCGATTTCCTACAAAAGTGTTACAAAATGCATAAATATCCATTTATGAGGTAGCGTGAACTTCCGTTTTTATTACACACGCAGAATGTACAAACGCAAGTTACATTACGAATTGGATCAAATTTAATACAGGCAATAAAATATTTAAAATTAAATTATGCGACGCTATAACTGAATTAGTTCCCTTTTGATATAAATACTAATTGACAATTGACTAACAATGACTTGATTTTAAGTCTAACCGTAAATTTCCATTAGAAATTGAAAAATAAAATCTTTTGTTGTACTTCATCCCTTTTAGCAATTTTATATTTCATCATTTGATATATATTAATATTTTCGAAGGTTTCATTGCATAAGGACTTTCTACGCCATCAGAAAGCGAAGTAATGTAGAAGCCAACGAAGTTTGCGTGTGAGGGAAAGGAAAGGAAAAATACGAACACTTAACATCTTTTAATTACTTGGTTCTCGATTTTATTCCGAAGAGTGAATTGGGATTTATTGAGCTTTGGGAAATGAAATAGAATCGATTTTTATTCTCTACCTGAGAAGAAAATCCCCTTTTCTCCCGCGATCCCTAATAATAGGCTTTCAGTGGATTAATCTCTTAATTAGTTTCATTGTGTATCTAGATTACTCTTTAACACTGGACTTTAAAAGAGCGCTTGTACATTCTTCTTTATTATTTATATATTTATTTGCCCATACGGCCATGCTATTTGAACCCTCTACATAATTGCAATTATAATCATGTTGCAGGCAAATCTCATTAACGTGAGATCCAGGGCTACGTTATTAATTAAATAGAAAATTTCCTCTCTTTCTGACTTTCAACACGCGCTTAAATGAACGATGATTAAAACATCTTGCAGATAATAAAAGTTACTGCAGAAATTTAATAGCACGAAAAAATACAGCATTCAATTATTTGCCATATTAAATAGATTGAGCAAAATGTTTTATGCAAATTACCATCGTAGAAATTAAAAAAATATTACCAATACGACATCTTTCAGTATGCCAAATTAATTAAAAAAAGGATATTTGGATTTCAAATAATCTGTTCATCTAGAAGCTAAACCAGGTTTATATAAGTTGAAAAGCGAATTTTTCAAATTTGCAACATTGCAAACAAAAGAGTTTCGAGCGCGTTAAAATGGGCATAAATAATAACTGGATGCTTGTCATCACGTCCTAAATTAAAACACATGCTAAACAAAGCACAAAATCGTGTTTTCTGATCTAGAACGTGACTGATTCTGATCTGGGTTTACCCCTGAAAGCGGATTTCAATCAGAATCGAATTGAAATCCGGACATATCTTCCTTATTAATTCAAATTCGCATTAGTTCTAATCTACATGGGCCGTTTTATCATTCGCTTTGTGAATAGTATTACTTCCAGATTGTTGGTTGTCAGAGAATACCTTCTGGGGAATCGCACATGACTCAAATATAATTTTGCTGGCTGTAATCCTGGTCCTTTATGTAAACGTTCCTTGAATTCCAACTCAATAGTTCTTAATTGAAATCAATTATACGATATTAATAGCGACTTTCTAACCGGATGTAAAAACTTTAACTGCAAGAGGAATTTGCGAGGACTAATAGTATTTATTATTTTTTTACACATTCATCTTTTTGAAGCGTACCAAAAGGCTCATTCAAATTGTCAAAATGTTTCAACTATTATTGTTTTTAAATACCAGTCATTTAATACTAAAATTAAGTAAAGCTATTTTTTTCCAAAGGGGATCTGATTAGTATTAGCTTAGTGACCTGCAATGAAGCCAATCAAATGAAAATTGGCGTTCTCCAACTTCTTGATTGCTTCAGTTTTTTAGACGCCTCTAAAAATTATGTCCTTCCCTTGCTAATGTTCAAAACGATGAAACTCGCCCCTTTAGGTACTTTCCCTTTAACTGGAATTATGGGAAAACCCAACCGTTTTGCATCAATAAAATCTTTCTAAAAAACTTGGTAAGTCTTTTGATAGCATTAATATTTTCTAATTGTTTCAGAGATTATCGATATAGTTCGTAAAGGAGCAGATGCAAACGACGGAGTCCCTTTACGGCCTACAATATCTAGCGAAAATGTCAATGAGCAAGTTGATGAAATAACATCTTTGATCGAAAAGTGCTGGTCCGAAGATCCTCATGAGCGACCAGACTTTAGCACCCTTAAGGCCAAATTGCGACAACTTAGCCGCAAGTAAGTTGCTCTGAAAATTCACACTATTCTGTAAAAAAATCCCATGAAGCAGATATAATATATATTTGTTTGATATCGAAAGCTTCAATGCGAAAGCTCTATTATAATACGAATATATTTGCTTTGTTTGGCTAAATTTATACCTGCTAGACATTGTGGACCGGGTAAAAGGCATCAACGTAAAAAAGGCGAAAATTGATGTACTTAATGCTTCAAGAGTTTTCGTGAATGGAGTTTGAATGGTTCGAAGTGACCTTTTATCAGTCCCTGACGCTTCAATTTTATTGTGCAAACATTAAGATGGACAGTTTATTTCGTTTGCTCCGTATTTCCAAATCACCATTATGTTCCTGGAATAACCTGTTTCCCTGTGCCATAGAATTGCTGAATTATAAATGATGCAAGAGCATTATTGTTGCCAGCTGAGAATTGTAAAAATACACAAAATGAAAAACGTAAATGTGGCTATTTGCTTAACGGAAACGTTTCTGCCTTCTTCTTTTATCAAATTTCAATGAACTTGCACATTGCTGAAGGTAAACTTTGCATTTACTGTACTTCATTCAGAACAATGATTTGTATAATTCATATTTAGAGCTTGCCTAAAAGCTTTTTGTAATTTCACGCCTGCAAAGGCTTTAAAAAATGCCGCAAAAAGCAAAGTTTATTAAATAGTATAGTAATCATATCAGTTTTATGAAAAGTGAACCTACTTTTCAGTAAACCGTGGATATTTCGATCAATGTAAGTATCGATAGCCAATTCAAACCGACTAGACGCTTTTAGATAAAAACTATTTATAGTTTTGTTAAAAATTTGCACTAGATTGATTTAGCAAGTAGTCCAAAATAAATAATAAGTCTGGCACATATCAAAAGACATTATTTCGGGCTTTGAGGCGGTCGTGGACTATAGCAAACCACTCGTGCTTGGTCAGAAAGAAATTATATTCCACGGCGGCCTAAAAACCCGAAAAACTCATCAGTTTTAAGTTCGGGTCAGTTGCCAAAAAATATCCAAAATCCTTATTCTCGTGCCACCTTTTGACCAAAACACATTAAATGGACCCAATCGATTTTCCAGCGGGTCTTTGAACTACACAATATGCTTTAAATCCAGGATGAACACGACAGTTTTCCCATCTGGGAATTTGCAGAATGTAATTGTTTAATAAACTTTTGGAACAAATTGGACACCTTTTTTGCGATTTGTGAGAATTCTAATTCGATTTATGCAGGTTGGAAAAGTATTTTTGAGCTCATCAAGTCAACTCTATTCGAGGGAAATTCAGACAGACCATGTTTCACATAGATCCAATCGTTCCCCATTAAAAAGATTATCATCTTAAAAGTTAAATCTAGACAATATTTTGCGTCTAAGGTACATAGTCTAATATACATACCTTTCTATTATGTATGTAGAAGCTTATTAACTTAGTTTGTAGTCATAGCGCATCAGTTAAAGTTCAATATATTAGTTTGTCCATAGTTATGTCAGAGTATGCATATTGGCATTGTGTTGAAACTTCTCTTAGATATTCCATACTAATTAAGTTAGAGTTGGACAGTGCATCATGCAGAATGCATGCCTGAATGAGAATTGTTTGCAAATTTTTAGTAAACAATTTGTATGGAATTCATTAATTGCCTCAACCAACAGCAAAATGATGCAGACTTCAGTCGAAATGAGCTCGGTTTTGCTGCATATTCAAGTGTGTCCAAGTATGCAACAATTCAGAACATGGTTTATATTTTGCTTTGTCCGTTTCTGTTAACAGATTTAGTAAAAGAGATAGACTTTCGATGCCATTCCTTGAAACAAGTGGGTTTTTCGGGTTTTTAGGCCGTCGTTCGGTAGAATTTCTTCTTGACGTTTCGCAAGCACGTGTGGCTTGCATCTTCAGAAGTGGTTTGCTTGAACGCTTATCATTGTTCATCAGAACAGTGTAAGTGAAAGTGAAAACCCACTTGTTTCAAAAGATTTAGTGTTGTGTTGTGCATTAATTCGCAAAAGCAAAATTAAACATCTTTAATTAATCATTTAAAAGTGAAACGCCATCTAGGAAGTTATCCGTTTTTTGCAGAGAAAATGATATGAACTTGCTGGATAATTTGCTAACTCGAATGGAACAATACGCGAACAACTTGGAAGCACTAGTCCAGGACCGTACGAAAGATTATCTCGAAGAAAAACGTAAATGTGAAGAAGTGCTTTACCAGCTCCTACCAAAGAGTGTTGCCCAGCAACTTATTATGGGTGAATCAGTCACAGCAGAGGCGTTTGATTCTGTTACCATCTACTTCAGTGACATTGTCGGTTTTACTGCTCTATCTGCCGAAAGTACTCCGTTGCAAGTTGTCGACTTGCTCAATGATCTTTATGGGTTATTTGATTCGAGAGTTGAGCATTACGAAGTTTACAAGGTACAGTTTATATAAAAGACGCTTCCTTCTAAACGGCTCCCCATTCGTCAAGGGGCAAAATCAATTATTTACGCAAATGCGATATTGTCAAAGATTAATAGCTTTGAGCCTTTGAGAATTTGAGTTTGGTTTTTATGTTGCGATGCAAACTATGCAAAACCGAATATTCTCCTAGGTGGAAACAATTGGAGACGCTTACATGGTTGTGTCAGGCCTTCCAGAAAGAAACGGTTTGAAACATGCGTTCGAAATTAGTCGCTTAGCTTTGGACCTTTTGGGTGCCATCAAGCAATTCAAGATTCGTCACCGACCAGAGAGTCCACTACTTTTACGCATTGGTCTACACAGTGGACCAGTGGTAGCTGGAGTTGTGGGACATAAAATGCCTCGTTATTGCCTTTTTGGGGACACCGTCAATACCGCTTCCAGAATGGAACAGAATGGACTGCCTTTGAAGATTCATATTAGTGAAGCGACCAAAAAAATATTGGATAAGGTTGGTCGATTTGATGTTGAACTACGCGGGGAAATTGAGATGAAGGTAATGCCACTTATTTTATTAACATGTGCGTAAAATGAAATGCTACAGTACATGTTTGGGTCATTTTAACTGCTAATTGAGTAAACGTTAACTAAACTCTTAAAAGTTGTTTTCGGTATTAACTAATTTGAACAGTGAACCGCATTGAACATATTTTGTTGCCATCCAAAAAAAATTGAGGGAGTTGGGGATGAAAGGCTGGTAAATACGGGATGAATCATCACCCAACATTAAACAATAATTTCAGTTAAATTGCAAGTTTCCCCGTTTTTAGAAGAAAGTGTTCACAAAAGGAATAGAAATGTATGCGGGATATTTGAACATCTGTATTGATAAAATGATTGCACTTTTTTCACAGGGAAAGGGCAAAGTAGTGACGTATTGGCTTAAAGGAGAAAACCCCAACAATTTATACTTAGGTGACGATTGCTTATCCCCGGTTGGGGTGGTGCCCCAAAGACCCAGTACACCGCGCCCTCGGAGTTCCTATCAAGATCCCCAAAATCCCCACACAAAAGTGGTTGATTTAAGACGAGTTATTGATGAAGTGGGTTTCGTTAATGAAACCTCAAGACCGGCGATAATGAATCATAAAGATAACGAAAGAGATCAGCAGGTGCCCGAAAATCCAAATATTTCTGCCAAAAATCGCCGTGATGAAACTGAGGTTCCGCTGCTTTCAATCACGGAACCTCCTTTCGGGGCCAACGCGTAGACTTTTTCTCCAAAACATGGAGAACTTTTAAATGTCTTGTTGTATAATAGATAGACACTTACTGTTTTGCACTATCAGATGTTGCTATGGAAATCTAATTGTATTTATCTCTGAATAGTTTTTGGAATTCTAAATGTTATTTGCATGTCAATGTTCAATGTTAATGTTTCGTCACACTTTTGAAATTGATGTTTTGCATGATCTTTACCTCTAATCAGTGTGCTTCTCAATAACCCCGGGGTGTTAATACTTTAACTGTTCTAATTTAATTAAAATAGAATCATTGATTCGTTTGAATTATAGTACTAATTTTTACAAATGCGTAGAACATTCTAAAAACTGGCCAGTTCAAGCGCTCTTAAGAGTTAGAGTTAAAAACCCATATGTATTAGTTTAAGGATGTGTTTCATTCAGGAGAAAAAAACGTGAGCATTGTCCTTTAACATAATTGAATGAGGTCAACAAAAGTGTGAGGTAAAGGTTTATTTTTGGGGTTTCATTAAAGCCGATAAACATTCATGGGAATGCCAGTTTTCGTCTTCCAAATGCGACACAACGCCAGATAGGTTTAAGGCATTATAACCATAGCTTTAAGGTTCTACAAATTAAAAATGTAAAACACTATTGAAGACGCTAAATAGACGACCAGACCTCAGTCGAAGTCGTCTTATGTAGATAATGTTTTACCCGTTCAATTTCTCTTCGTAGTCTAGATACTGGGGCCTCCCAAATATGAATAGAGGAATTCTCCTTCCTAGCGCTTAGGATATGTATTTATTCAAACTACTAAGACTAGGTAGGTATAAGGTAAATGTATTTAGTTACACAATTCTGGTTCAGTTTTAAATTACACAACTAGACCGCCATGAACATACTATTATTTCCTTTAGACGTACTCTCACTGTTTTCTATAGTGGAAGACAAGACACAAAAGTATATTTTTGAACATTTATATGCAGAAAATAATTCCATGTAATGTGTATACAGGGTATTTAAAAAACAGGGTAATGAGATTTTATTAGCATTAATATGTTATAATATGTTATAATATGTAGTTCGAACACCCTGTGTATGCACAAGAATTTTACGCTTCTTTTAAGCAAATACTAGTGTACCTATAAGCAAATTAAAGAAGTTGCAACCTAAAGCAGCTACAGAGCAATTCGTTTTAAACTTGTTGACATTATAAGAGATTTTATATTATTTTAAATAATAGGATTTTGTGATTGACATGAGCTGTAAATCGTCGTCTAGCTTACCTAGACATGCACAGGTTGTTCAATAAAAATATCTTTAGATGAACCAAAAATTAACAGGTGCAAGATCTTAGCTCTAAAGTGCAATTGAACAACAATAACACTTATTTTCATATCCCAAAAACAGTAATTTTCAGGTGTATTGAGTCCAAAATAAAAATTCCCAAAAAGGAGTTTTTGAACATCTGCCACTGGCTTGGGTTGAATCAACATGAACATTTTATGAAACGGTTATGATTTCAGCTTTATTTTATGATGCCATTTTACAGGTTAAACTAGCAGTTTTATCCTGCAATTAAAAGCTTATCACTAGACATGACCACTTGTCACTGCACATGATATTGCATTAGAAATATATCTGGCACATGATTTAATAGAAATACTGATGTTTTCTAGTCACTACGCAGAGTATTTATTTATTTTTATATTTTTTATTGAACGCTATGCTGCAGTGCTATACAAACGATATACAATCAATATATTTATTTTATATTAATAGAATTATATGTACTGTTCCTAGTTTTTAATATGACCTCTTATGTATTAATTTGGCGACAAGTCTAGTTCAAGAAAAGCTTACGCTTTCTAAGTTAAGTGAATGTTGAAGCATGTGGATTTTAAAATATATGGACGTCAGTATTTTAAATCTAGCGCGTTTTATTGGTAAGCGAATGAAAAATTGCAATTTATCGGTAACCCAATATGCAGTCAAGAGTACAACTAAGTTGCTCTAAGTTTTAGCAATGGTGTTTTTGATAATCCAGGGCAGATATCTATTGACTCTGGTGTAAATACCTGGACTACCCACATTTCCACATTCTAAACCCCATGAGACGACCCCAATAGTTACCCAGCGCCCATTTGGCAACTGATACATCAAAGGCCCTCCAGAATCACCCTGCAATCAATAAGAAAAAATACAGAATCGAACCAAACACTACATTGACATTAACAGGCTCAGGCACCGAAAAACCTGCCTGAACCTTTTTAATATTTTATTAAGGCTTCGGAAGGTTTCCTTATAGCGTATACATCTCGAATTTCCTTTTTCGCATATTTGCATTTCATGTTTCATAAATTATTTAATGTCGCCAACATGTTTTGCAGGTGCTCTTCACAAAAAATCCTGTTACCCCGGCAAAAAACGTAATATAAGGAAAAACAGGAAACGCGGAATCAATTTTTCTAGCATATACGGAAAATGAGCAGATGGAAACTGCGAAATTGCTTGTCGTCGCGTATCATACCAGCGATGTAAAATTCTCCTCCGGGAAATAAAATTTTCTGGATAAATTGTTGGGAAATCAAGCGCAAGAGCACGACTCGTAAAAATTTTCCCATAGGACATTGCAAATAAATTATAGGTGCTGGTCGTAAAGCAACCCAAACAGAGAAAACAGTTTCATTACTACTAATTACCTGGCATGAGTCTTTGCCGCCTTCATACGCAGCAGCACAAATATTGTATTCAGTAATTCGCTGCAAAAAACTGTCAACACATTTCTGCTGATTCCATACAGGAATCGACACCTGCAAGAGCATTTCTGAGAAACTGGCTACACCATATTTTTTATAGCCCCAACCAGCCACTACCACAGTTTCATCCTCAAAATTGACACCTTAAAACAATTATCTAAGTACAAATGAATTCACACATTTTTCTACGTACCCGTCGGAGGAAGACAAATGGGCCAAATATATGAATTAAATGACGTAGGTTCTGCAAGTCTAACAATGGCAATGTCGTTTTCATACGTTGAGTAGTCAAAATTTTCATGGTTAATTATTTCAGCAACGTCGTAGTCTCTAAATCGAGTTTCATTCGACTTGGAAAAGTCGTATTCTCCTAAGCGCACTTTGATGTTTTGGGGGGACTCTCTAAAACAATTCCTTCCATTCAAACCTAATCATCCTGAAAATATCTGATGGAAAGAAATTTGAAGGAAAATACTCAAACCCTTGAAAGCAGTGAGCTGCACTGAGTATATGATTGTCTGTAATAACAGCGCCGCCACAAAACTGCTGCTCAGAACGTTGCTCATAATCTTCCGGGTGATAGAAGGCTGCCAGCCAAGGCCATTCTTGTACCCTAGAAGATTGTTTGGAATTCATCGTGCGACCTTCAGCTGAAAGTCCGCAACCTGCAAACGTCCATGAAGGACAGAATTTTTACCGAAAAAGTCCATGCTTATACCGGTGATATTATTTTGGTCCCCATAATCGTCTCCGCCAGCTGGAAGGTCCATAATCAACTGAGAACCGACCATACCACTTAATGCCACGTCATCTGGACAGCAAACTCCTACAAACCTAAATCACGCGAAATCTTCCAGACATTTTCTTCTAGTCGGTTGAAAAGGTGATTTATTTCAAGTTCTTACGGATGTTTCGTTAATTTATGTTTATGCAACAGAATCGCAACTGCCGATGGATGGTGTATGCGCGAGATTAAGTAAAGCCAAATAAATTCAAATCTTAAAACCCACAACACGTGTTAATGTTTCGTTTTTTGTTAATGTTCTTGTTTGTTTGCCTCAGGTAAAACTGTCCACCAATTTGACTTCAGGCCCAATCCGGCTTTTTAGAGCGCATAATTTATTATATCAAGCATGGTTTTCATAGGGCCACGCTGAGAGCATGACTTTGTAGTAAAAGCTGGCCAATAGATAAACATATAAAATGCCAAAAGATTCCTTCGGACTTACGCCGACTTTTTGTTATGTTTTATTATCTATAAGTATGGTTTCTGTTTCGCCACGCTGAGAGCATCAATTAATTGACTCTGATTGCAAGATATAAATTGAGAATGAGTTCTCGACTCTCGAATCGAGGTAAAAATGCAAGTACCTACTTTGTTCGTGAAGTCGCCTTTTTTACCTTCAAATCATCATAACTTCCAAGTTTTTCAACCGATTGCAATTTTTCGAGATCCAGTTTTCATAGAAAATTGTACGTGATGCAAATAATTCTTATATACAAAAAGCTGTGTTTCCAAAAAAATGCAACCTTAAATACACAAAGAGAACATCGATAACATTTGCCTTGAAAAATCGTCTTTTGGTCCTTCGAACTCTTATGACTTTTTTTCAACTAAGTTCAACTAAGACTTTCTCAAATAATTTCAGGTTTGCAAAATACGATTTTTACACAAAAGCACTCACTTTATAACGAATTTTCAATGATCTAAATCGATCCCGTATTAAGAGAGTTACTAATTTATTCATATTGCAGGAATCTGGTGCGCCATATAATTATAATAACAGCTAAATATTCATATTATGCCTGTCATTCGTGTTTACTTTCTTAAATTATCTTTGAAATCTTCTGGATCCGTCCTTGATTCCTAAGCGACATAGTTAGGTCAGCAACTTTATCTAAATCCTGATCATTTCATGTGACCAGCCACTCCAAATATAAAAATTTCCAATTTCCTTATAAATAAAATAACCAATTTCCTTATAAATAAAATTAATTCACATTTTTCAAGCTTCGAACGTTATCGCTGTTTTGACGGACTGTGGCTTTACAGCTTTGAAGTTCCCAATTTTTGCTTGACAAAGAATGCGACTTGACCTCAATGGACTGCGAGTGAATATATTTTTCATTGCAATTATAACCCTTGATCTTTCCGCAGATGTGAATAATAATAGAATGAAGGATAGAGAAACTAACGTTTTTTCTATGACGCACAAGTATTCCAAAGTTGCTCTTGTTCCTGTTAAAACGTCGATAGGACAAAACGTTAAGTGTTTGCAATGCCCTTTCGCATCACCGGGACCAATACATTCTTGATAACGTTTGTTAAGCTAAAATGAAACAAAAACGTTAAATGGCGAAAGAAGCTTGATTAGAATTACCTTAAATTTCCTGCTTAGACCCAGAAACCGTTTTCGTCTAATATGACCGCGATTTACATCTTCATCGTTAGATATCACTGAGTCAGCTTGTTCTATAATTCGGATTATTGGATTTTGACCTTCCACAAGTTAAACGCTTACCTGGTCTTAGTACTAAAGTATCACAAAAATATGCAAAAGTTAACAGAATAACAAACCAATATTGGATTAACACGGGCATTGTTGGTTTGGATGAGATGCTTTTTGTAACTGCCAAATTATATAAAATTTGTTTTTATCTTTTCCCGTTCACTAGGTGGGTGTCTTCCTGTCGGGTATTGCGCTAAAAGTTAGCGATAAGGCCGTGGACAATTTTTCCATGTGAACTTAGTAAGTTCTTTAGGTATACAATTAGAAGAATTGCATCTATCATACAAATACTTGCAGAAAGCAGGATTTAATGAACGTACCTACTAATTACTAAATTGCTAAAATGTATAACTGTAACAAATTGACGCCATTTCATCTCGGCACTTGAATATAAATAGAATAAAAAAATAACGAGCAGATACATACATTATTTATTCGGCCTGGTCTAATGGCAGCTACAAGGAAACCAGATTTCCAAAGCATGTTATTAAATATTTGCATGCGCCTACTCGTTGTACTATCACTCCTGTCCTGGTTTTTGTAAAATCTGGCTTATATATTACATTTATATTATAATTGACCAAGTGTCTATAATTGGCAAATAACATTTTACAAACTTGAGCGACCGGTATAAAAACGAATTTAAGTTGCTTTTCCCATATCGGTTTTAAGTAAAATCCTTGATAGATTTTAGACTTCAGCTCGAATCAATTCTGATTCGATTAAGGTTTGGTGTAGAGTCTTTCTAAAAAATATCTAAAAAGCACGTATCAGCCAAAAAAAGTTAGGCTGATCTTGTTTGATGTTCTAAACCGTGATTCCCAGTTGTCTAATACAAGTACTAAACAAATATTCTGATATGACAATGATAAATAATGATAGCCATCTAAATGTACGTGCGAGTTAAAGCGTCTCCCTACAATTTAGCTTACTTTTCAAAATATATCAGTATATATCAGACCGCTCGACTTTACACCACTCATATTTCCTTGCAAATGACGATTTAAATGTGCGTCATTAATGAACGACTTAAGATAACTATGTACAATGGGAGCAATAATAGGTTCCAAAGCTTAAGGGTTTTTTTTTTCACGATATCTGTTTCTTTTTCTTTTCAATCGGTAAAAATGGCAAATTTATTTTTACAGCGGTTAAAGCCTTCTTAATCTGGCTTATGATGCATGAACATACGTCAAAAGTACTAAAATTCCTAGTAAAAGATATTATTTTTCATATAGAATTCCGAGTTATTTATCTTAAATTCAGTAGTTGTGTTGCTTGAGCTTTCCTCGAGAGCAAATACCATCAAAATAGGCGCAAACTAATTAGCTGATACACTTTCAACACGACCTTTAGCAGAATGAAGGTAATTATTGAGGTTTAATTCCTGTAATTCATCATTGCATCTCTCCTCGTAGTATTATTCAATTGTTCACAGACCAATTAAAAGCCAAATATTTTCCAAATCTCTTATATAACAAATGTAAGAAAAAGAATTACCAGCGCGACAATTTGAACCGAAAATATGCGTGGGTATCTAGTAATAAACTGTACTGATTAAAAGACAAATTGTTTAAAGGCGACACAAACAAAGCACGTTGCAATAAATTCAAATTTATTTTCAGTCAACCGATAGTAATTTGTTTAAATAATGCTGGTATAAACTATAAATATGCAAGAAGTCCCAATAATCTAGCACGCGAGACTATGGGTTTCTACCATTAGGCGCCAACACCTCGAACTTGTTCAATTTCTAGGAGACACATTTCTTGCATAATAGATTTAACTTGCTTATATTACTTTCGACGGCATACATTAGCTAAATATCAAAACATTTTAAAATGTCTTAATTGGCTTGCCAATTGATGGCTGATTTAGAACCTTTGGTCTAGGATATAACTGAAGATGTTAATTTAAAAGTGTAAAAATGACAACACCGAATTACTGTTTATATCCAGACATACTGAGGCATACCTTGAAAGCATGATACCAAACAAAACGAACAAGGCAAGGCCGCATTTATTTTTCGTCGCCCACGAGACTTCATTTTAATCAGAAAAAATAAAATAAAACAGTGCCTAACAAATTAACGCGAACCAAATGCTTCTGTGAAAGTAATTCGAAGATTTGCGGAACTACAAGGCGAAAAATAATTATTTTATAACAATATGGTTGATATTTACTGCCATGTGTGCTGAAAGATGTTTGCAAAATCTACGTGGGATAAACCAGTTGAGAAACGAAACCTGTACCCTACAATTTTAGCTCGGTGATATCGTAAGCATATTCTTTATACCCGGGCGCTGCTCAAGTTATTTCAATTAGGATTCAAAATTCTGATGTTTGAATATTTCTGTTTGCATTTTTTAATTATTATTAATAACCGCGATCGGGTCAGTTTAGGCCAGGTTTGGTTAGTTTAAATGTAGCATATGAGCTTAAATATGACCAATTTGAAACTTTTCACTCTTGACAACTAATAAAATTCACGTTTCCTTGAGGCAATTGATTTTTGATATTGGAGTATCATTTCGTATCTGAAATCAAAGTCTTTCGAGATACTTTAAAATATATCAAATTTTATCTGATAGAAATAAATTACTGTGCCAAGGCCTGAGAACGTGAGATTATCAAACAGAAACTACCTAGAGGAAAAGTTTTCATCGCTGAAACACCCAATAAAATCAATATTTGACACTCAAGTTTTGCAGGTGTACGAGGAGGATAGCATAGAGACCGTTTTTGCAAGCATCGAAGTATCACTTGAGCTAATATTTGCCATGTTCTGAAATCGCAGGAATTTGACGAAAATATCGAATTTTGCACACCTATATTTCATCGCGCCATGCAGTCTATAGTAAAAAATCTTATCATGCCTTTCATCAACGATTTCTTTGTTATTGTAGTTTCTTAGAAAACGCTTCACTATATAACTTCGATAACTTCCCGAGGAATGAAAGGAGGAACAAACTTTGGTGCGGTCCCAATCTAGCAAGGACAAATGATTTTAAAATATTGCATACATTAGTACAGTAAATATGAGAAATTCCTCAAAATTAGATTAAATTATGAGGTGTCCTCATTGAGCGCTGCAGCGCATTCAAACTAATTGCAAAGTTGTTGCCTTAAAAGAAGATATAGATGTTTATTTTCTAAATACGGAGTATTAATTTACGAGCATTTGCTGAGTTATTTATAATGTTTTGTTATCTGCAATGACATTGTGATCTTAAATTATATGAAAGATTGGTATTCATGTTAGCTCGTTTTGCAGTCAGTTTGGAGCTGCCTATAGGCGAGACGCTCAGTCTAGCACTATCAGGTAGCTGATAAATCTGATGCATGTTGGGAAAGATTTTTAATATTTTGATTTATTTTCCTGACAGCGTGTAATTGCTATTATATTTTTTTCTTTTCTTGGTTTCAGTCAAAATGTGAAATGAAAATGTTCATATCATTTATTTCATATTACGTTTCCGCAGCGCTATCATCAGATTTAAAATTCAACACAAACCCATAATTGGGAAACATTAGGGAAACCTCACATTTTTTTTCAAAAAAATGTTAAATCCACACAAGAATCGCACTTTTGAATGCTCTATTCGAAACCAATTTTCTTTTTTCAATATTTGACAGGTGTCAAGAGATTTTTGAAGAAAACTGATTTATGACAGATTTTTAAATAACTCCTAGTTCAGTCAGTATTAATCTGACAGTAGAACAATAAATGGAGAAGTTTTAGGAAATTGCATTCCAAATTCCCAATAAAATGTACACAAATTGTCTTTTCTTTTTAATGTTTTCTTGTCAGATTAATATTGACGGAACGGGGAGTAATTTAAAAATCTCCCATTAATCAGTTTTTTTTCACACATTTCCTGACAGCTGTCAAATTTTTGACAAATAAAATTGGTTTCGAGTAGAACATTCAAAACTGCGATTCTTTGTCCATGCAACCTTCGTTGTAGCTGCTGTATACTCAATAACTCATAGATTTACATAAAAAATGTCCAATATATCTGTCAGGATAAAACGGCAATTAGAATGGTTAAAATCTGCATTTCAAGTCCGAAAGTAAAAAGAAATTGAAATATAAATACAGCCCAGCATCCATCCGACCTGTTTGCCGAAGAGTTTGGGGCGCTTGCGCTTTTATTAGGCGAGTACCGTGGACTTTAGTACCCAGTTCCCGGCATCGTGTAAAAGATAAGACAAGGCAAGCAGGATAGCGGTTCGATGGTTCGGTTCTCGCTCGGTCTACAAATCAGTTACTGCAGTTATGTTTACGTAGAACTTAAGAGAAGTCGAACGAGACGCCAGTTTGATGCTGGTACCACTTTTACGAATTGAGTTGCGGAGTGACATGTCATATTATCATCTCTAAGGTTGTTCACCAAGGTCGTTCGTTAATCTTTCAGTTTTCGGCTTACGAGGTGGTTTTTTCTTCATGTTACCGATTTCGGAATAGTGGACTCGCCCTTAGCTGACTAGCTGCGAAAATCGGGGTACTTTTGGTGAAATTCGCTCGTTTAGAAACAGATTTTTCGGACGGTGGAAAGTTGTAAAACGCTTTACCGCCTTGTTGTTGCGATGTTCGATGACCTCTTATCCTAAGATGTTTACAATGCCTGTTTGATAGTAAGTGGTAGATTATGTATTTTACTTTATAGGATCTAGGTAGTCGAACATTCATGTGACGTGATATGAGTCGAGGACGTGAACACACCAATGCAGTTTCTTCTCGACATGCATATTTAATTTGTTTGTAATCAAATTGTTTCTTCAGCAGACCAAACCTGACAAAATGCATTTAAGAAGCAGCAGTAAAAGTTATCAACTCATAAACCGTTTTTGGGAATTTTCGGGTTTCACAACAAACATGTTTTCATTATAGAAAATTAGCCGATCAAAATTACCCCACAATTGTATCAATAAAAGTATACATTTTCAGCAGAATACTTTTGCATTTTACGCTTTCTTAGAATTTTATGATATATTGCGCTGTCAATTTCTAGTCTGGACTTAACAGATTTTTATTTCCGGAACATCGATCTTTTAGCGGGAATAAATAAACCCAAATAAAATTGACCGAATTGTGAACAATGTAAGTTTAAGATGTTGTTTAGGAAGAGGCAATTATTCATACCAGCCATAATTTCGTAACGTGTGTACTGATAATGGGGATTAATTTAATTTTACTCCAATTTAACTTGAAGCAGTTTAATGTTCTAGTTTTATTTAAACATCTACAAGGACTTTATTTTCCAATCTTATCACTTTATAAACACGTATATAATAAATAAATAACGGCAGCGAATTACCATTAATACCTACCTGCTCGGAAAAATGTCGATAACAAGTGATAATATAGTAAAAGTGGGAAAAATATTTTTGTTTCCTCAAATGCATTGAACAAACAAAATATGTAAGTACCGATGTGCCGACGCAACTGAAGAAATTCTACATTGTTCCACATATCTCTATTTGGAAAAACTGCAGTTGGAATGAATATGATATATGAAATATACAAGACTTTTGACCCAGCCTAGCCTTCCAGCTGCTAGTAAATACCCAATCGCCAGTTCTTAGTATATGCGTAATCATATCTTTTAAAACCATTTAATTACTTCGTGATAAACAAATCTCTGTGTCTGTCTTAACTATTAAAGCATTTAACAGCGTATTTGCTGAAAATAACTCCACAATAATTGACCAAGAATATTTAACATCCTCCAAGCATACAAATAGAGAGTTTTATTTTATTTTACATAGCGGGTATCGCAAAATGGTTATGAAAATGAATGAAAATATCGCAATATGTATTCGGAAGCGGTAGTAACCCCGCAACATTTAAATTCCGGACACCCGGTTCAAAAGATGCAGTAAACCAAAAATGCTATCAGCAAATTTATTAAAAAGCCTCAGTTAATTCTAAAAAAATTATTCTTCTTATAATCAAAAGCGATACGGCCACATTAATATTTAAAGCGTGAAACATCCTGTAAAAGAGCAAAGGCTCTTCTTAATGCTTGGATCGGCCGAAACTTATTACATACGTATTATCATCCTTGTGGGCATTTCGTATTCCTTTAGGAAAGAAATAATATCATAAATCGTCGAAGATTGTATGCGAAAAATATCCGCTCTCATAGCTATGTTATTAGCAATTGTTTAGAATATCTTAACATCAACAATATGTTTTTAAATGCAACACCGGTTGCTCAAATTAATTATAAAAATTCCTCAGGTTTGTGGCCACCGTGACATAAAAAATATTTAAATTTGTAGATTGGCGCTTTTAAATCTATTCAGTAAATACAGTTTTAATTTGAATACAGTTTGCTTAGAATATTGATTCGGTAACACCTAGAAGCAAATGGACAGGTAGAATTTTAAATAGGCCAGTTTCAACAGTTTTAATTACCAAAAAGCAAAGCATAAATATTGCAATGGGCAGCTAAATGAACCGACCATCCTTACGGGTTTCTTCTGATTAGTTTATTTAGTTTGTCCAATGCGATTGGCTTTGATACATTTAAGTTTCGCCTCGTGGAGCACTTGAAATACTTATATTCAGATAATACTCAGTTACTTGTTTTGATGACCGATGGTCTGGAGGTGATTAAGTTTGCTGATGCTATTTAGCAAGATTTCATTGTGATGGCAACAAACAATATAAAGTAGCTTTCGAAATACCTACTATATCGAGTGAGGATTATTTTTGGACTGTGCCTCAAGTTCGCACACTATATTTTGTCACCACTCAGTAATTCATTTAGTTTAATAGTGAACAAGTTTGCTGAATATTGCATTGTTATCAGAATGAATAAGACTGCGACGGAATGTTTACATGCTTTGAGCAATTGTAACTTTACAGTAAAATCAACTGTTTCGATGCACCATGTACTTACTACAAGCACTACAGCTTACATATTTAACAGGCATTATAAATTCAAGGCTGCAAGATGTATACGTAACTAACTACTCCTACAAGAGTATAGAGGATGGAAAATCTTAAAATATAATTAATTACTTGACCATTTAGATTGTATCGTGTACAACATCACAGTGGCAGTGTAACATATTTATTTTTAAAGGCCTAATATCTGTGGAAGATCAATAAATAATCCCTAGGATCCCTTTTGGGTCCGGGCGTCTCGCATCTACCTAGGAGAAGAAATAAAAATGACCTGGCTTAAGTGATCGTCCGAGTCGTCTTCGGTTCGCTGTTAACTGGCTCCAGAAGTATAAAATAAAATTTAAAATTCAATAAGCCCCCCGTCAAGATGTCTCAGAATTTTAAAAGGGCTCTTTTGTTTAATTTTACACCCATACCATGGGTTTTATGCTACGAGATAGCAGCAGAGAGGTTTTTCGATTTTATCTGTTGTTTTTGTCTAGGCAGACTTGTAGCGAAGTATCCAGTAGCGAAGTTCAATTTTTCCACAACAAATTATTTCTTGCAAATAACAGGTTCGGTATTTTACATACCTTGAGGTTAATTGCAAAAACTCAGGATTATTGAATGTTTACTGGGTATTGCAAAATCGCTTGGAACTATTATTGAGATTTGCTTCTCGGTATTTCAGCCCATTTCGCATAATATTAAATATGGGGGGAACATAAAACATAAATAAAAGTACCACTGCTGCTCCACAAGGAGAAAAAAATATGTTTGAAAATGTTATTAGAGTAAATGTATTCGCGGCAATTAATTCTGGTGGCCATTGTAGCCAGCGTTGAATTGGTGACAAAAAATGTGTGCTAATTTCTGCTACCATTCGACTCGCCAACGCCATTCTTCAGAAATTTGAACAACATTCCATATGTCGGAAATCTGCATAATTTTAAATAAAAATGTAACCATTATCTAAAACAATAGTAACGTAAAAAGTTCAAGGATTTAATTCAAAAGCCTCAAGGTTATTGGAAGCATTGTTGGGATAAATTGAATTTGAGATTTCATATTGATTGCTTTTTTCTATGGGAAACCGTATATTTTTAATCAAATTGATGTCCATGATTCATAAAGAACGACTCTAAGATGTAATTGCTTTCGGTCCAAAATAGTTTATAGACCTTAATGCTTTGTAGAAACGAAACATTTTTTTCATTTTTCTGTGCACACATGAGCTTAATTTAAGGAAAAAATTGGAAAGATTGAGTGCTACAGCACAAGTTCAAGAACAAAATATTGACCATTTGACCGTATTTCACATTATCGGTGGATACAGTTTTCAAACGTTACCAGATCGACGGTACTCAGGTACTGCTAATTGCCATAACCCAGTGTGCACCAATAAAAAACAAATTTTAAAGAGATTTGCTGCAACTTTCTAATAAATTTATAAATGAATCTTGTACAGGATTATTCACAGTCCAGCGGTGTTATTAGTGATTAATTTCACATCAGAAAGATTATACAATTCTAGGTGCACGTTTCAAAACCTGAATGAAACGAGATCAGTTCGAAAAAGAACAGGTACGTTTAATGCGGTTTCATTAAAATTTTCGAATCGTTATTAGATGATTCAGCATGTAAAGTGCATCCATGTCAAAAAGTACAAGTAGAATAACCATTTCGTGGCAGATGATTTATTTGCAGTTGAAAATGTTAAGCAAAATCTTCGCAATCATCTTGATCTGGTCATTATTATACCATCTACCAAACATTTAAGCAAATAGGATCTCGAGATTTAGCAATATGTTCCCACACTGTCTAAATTTGAATAACTTTCTATTCTTCCATATTTGTAAGTTTGGGAGAGGCGAAAATTTAAAGACCAAACCCACAACGTATTTTCAACAACAAATTACTTTATATGTTCGATTTTCCTGACTGGAAACTTCAATAATTACACTAGAACCAGTAATACGCCGTGTTAAACAAAGTTCCTTATCCTAGCAACAAATTTGAGAAGAAGTGAATAAATGCATCAAGATAAGAAGTTCATCATTCAATAATGACTTTTAACGGGCAGTCCTCACGCTTGTGCAAGCTGTTCTTAGAAATACATTTCAATAAATTATAGATTACAGTTTCAATATTGACAAAGACTGTGGAGGAATGATGTATTTTTTCGTAATTAGACTCTAAGGCGCGTTGCAACTTGGTGTGTTTAACGTATCTTGCGTTTTCGAGTTATAGTTGTATGAATGATGATGAAGTTGGAAGGTGTTTGAAAAAACAGGCGTGGGGACTCCTGTTCACCATGATTACACACATAGGCAATTATTCAGGGCCGGATTAACCTTATCCCTGCAGACGTATTTTTTGATTTTATACTAGATCTTACCGAAGCCCCCGACATCCTGAGGTCCGCTGTAGCACCCGGTTGGGGTCGATTTTTTGAAAAAATGAAAATGTTCTCAAAATGTCTTAAATTTTACATCATTTTCAGCTCAGGGACGCGAGGAATGCATCTAACTCATTGAAAAACATGCTAGA